AGCTGTCACCGGCAGTAAATTCAAATTCCGCCGAAAAGATTTGGTTATTCGCCCACGTCTTTCACATCATGGGACATACGGTTTAACACCTCAGCCACTGAGATCCCAGTTTTTTTTTTTTTTTTTTTTTACATTTCAATAAACAATAGCCCTGCATAATAATCTACTACACATTTTAGATTAATGCTTTCAAATTTAGAGCCGCCGTGTCTGATATGCTTGCCTATCTCACTGTGTCTGTTCCGAGGCCGCAGTGTGGGGAAAACAAGAATAAAGCCACTGCCTCCCCAACAAGCATGTCGTAAGAGTAGACTAATTGTGGGTTTCCTTTAAAGTTGGAATGCATCTGCATGAGAATCAAGGAACCAACAGTCTTCATACAAATAAGTTACATTAGTAAAATTGATGTACACGCAACACTCAGGTTCTGGAACAAGTCTTAAGTTCAGAGCGTGTTGGAGGTCTCTTGCAACCAACCTTCACTGTAGAGACGGCACCAGTTTGATTGATTAGAAATCCAGGAATGGATGAATAACAAGAACTTGAATCCGGTGAAAGCGACGACGGAGAGGCTTGTCCATTTATTCGACGCCCATATAGTCAAACCAAACAAAGCGGATGTGTCTTGGGCTGCTGTGTCGATCGGCCCGAATTGTGAACCATGGCATGTCCAGGGAAGCAAAGGCAGCCGGTGTTATATTGACATCATAATTCTCTTTCTTCCTGTTTTTTCTCTCTTTGTTTCATGCTCGAGATTCGTTGCTATAGACACCACCTGCTTTCATTAATCTTTGTGACTGGCCTTCGTTTCCAGTTAGTGGCTTCAAATATTTGTAGATACACCTCTATATGCCTCTGTTGTCTTCTTGGTCAGCTCATTAGCAGAGATTTTATCCTATTATTATGGTTCTCCCCCCCCCCTCATTTGTTTTTCTCATGTGGGTGTTCTTTGCTGTCAAAGGTATTCTGTGTACTCTAATCTATAAGGTATCATAACTAATTTCTTTTCTAGTTTTTACCTGAAGCTTTACATTCCATTTTCACGATACGCCGGTACACAAAAGAAAGCTTGTATTTTGTACATTTTAAGACACGTCATCAAAAGGCGATATTATAAAATGTGAAAGATTAGAATACGAAACATCACACTTCCTACCCCCCTGCCTGAGCAGTGTTGCCACTTTGGATATTTTATATCCAAATTTAGATCTTTTTCATTGCATTTAGATACTGTTTTTGACGTTTAGATCGTAAATATTTTTCTAGGTATTTTTCATATGGAGTTAAATATTTTATAGATTTTTTTTTCTTTCATTGTCAATTTGATAATTATATTGTGTAAAATACTTACTACAATATTTTTGTTTTGGTCTGGCACGTACATTGTGACAACTGCCATTACTTGAACTTTGAACTCTCACTGGGGTCAACGCACAAATATCTGGCAGCCCAGGTACTGATTAATAAAAACGCGCGTAAATCATACTAAATTTTTGTTCTTCTTCCAGATTCGTCCTTTTTAGGACGACATTTTTTGTTATTTGAAGCCCCACCCTGACTTTTGTCAGGGGCGGCAGTATAGGCAAGCCATAAATATGGCCAATTGTCTGAACGCGGTTTCTGGGACCTCTCCACGGCGATCCTCATCCACATGGTGGCACTTTGTGTCATCGGGTGTTTATCGCTTGTGTGATGTCCTAGTGGGGTAGAAAGTCGGTCAGTCAGTCATAATAACTTTGTTTCAACCGTATCCTCACTGTGCTGACTTTGCGTTTCTTTTTCATGTGATTTAAAAAAATAATTGCTCACCTTCTTATGTAACTTTCACTTTGAAAAAACCTTTTAACATGCCAAAAGTAAAGTATGAGCAAAAAATTTGGAAAGAGTGGTTGCATGATGACAAAATTAAAAACTGGGCATATGATCAAAGCTTGTTGTAAGTACTGCAAGTGTGAAATTAAAGCGAAATTACAAAACTCAAAGAGTCATGCAGAGACCAAAAAAGCGCAAAAACTGCAGTTTCATTTAAAGATATTACACCGCTGACATACTTTTTCGGAACTATACTGATAAATGAATCATCAAAAGTTGAAGTATCAGTCGCAATGTTTTTAATTTGTCACTGAGCAATTTCAAACTGTGACCCTTTGATCGATTTGTAAAAAATCTTGGACTAGTTCAATTTGAAAAGTGTGATGTAGAAAGTATAGTTTAGGAACTGAAGCTAGCATTATCACATGCTTCATCTAAATATTTACCAAGGAATTTGGAATACCTTATTGCTGAAACACTTTACTGGTTTTCCAAATCATTTGTCAGACAACAGCAATACAATACATTATATACAACCTTGAATGATGGTTCCACACCACCAAAAATTCTGTCAGATTGCAAAACTAGATGGTTATCAATTTAACCAGCTGTTGAAAGAATTATGAAGCAATGGCTGAAGTTGAAGACACACTTTGAAATAACAAGACAAAGTGAAAAGTGCTACACAGCTGAAATACTATATGGAATGTACAATGATGAAAAAAATTTCTCATTCATTCTCTTTTTATAACCTATTCTAATGGAAGTGCAAAAAGTTAATAAACTGTTCGAATCTAAACTTGTTGATAAAAGTTCAATTACTTGATGATCTCACCTTGCTATTTCACTCGGTAAAAGACTGGTGTTGCCAACTTCTAAAGCTGATTTGCTCACTTGCCCTATATAGAGCTATTTGGCTCCTAAGCCATACCTTGGATATTAAATTTGTGGCGCGGTGATTTATGTCACAGGCGTGAGGGGAAGTTAAGTCCAACATGATGTGTATAAGGAGATACTCCGTACGTCACTCGGGCGCCAGTCCTTAACTATCCTGGTTGTACGGGACCTCACGCAAGACCCCTACAGCACGTCCTCGTCGTGCGCCACGGATAATGTCTCAAATGAGCATTAACAGAGCTGTCAGGGGATCTCGGAGTTCGGCGGCCCCCAGAGGTGATGTGTCCTTGTGGCTCTCATCAGCCCGCCCCCAAACGCTTGGGTGAAAAATGTTATCAAAACTCATTAGGAACATGAGTAGGTTTGCCAAACGTACAGCCAAAATTACAACCCTTGGTTAAAAGACTGCGGAGTAAAGAGAACATTGTTCACTGCACATCCTCTGTTAACCCTCAGTGTCGTTGTCAGCGCGCTGAAGTACACCACAACAGCAACCATCCATAGGCTGGCCATCCTTGTACATCCTCGGTTAACCCCCAGTGTAGTCGTCACCGCGCTGAGGTACACCACAACAGCAACCATCCATAGGCTGGCCATTCATGTACATCCTCGGTTAACCCTCAGTGTCGTCGACACCGCACTGAGGTACACCACAACAGCAACCATCCTAATTGTCCGACAAAACAAGATCATACGGATCAAAATCTGACCATCAAAATTTGTATTGAACTGAAAAAGACCGAATGTCCACACCCAAAGACCCCACTCGCCCGAGTGTTGGGACAAAACTGATAACGATATGCCTGATGCAGGATGTAAAATTCTGTCGGGCTAACGGCTCGTCAAAGAAATCTAACGTGCGAAGAAAAAAGAATGTACCTATCTGTGTGGTCACAAAAGTCCAAAACCCACGGGCTGCTCCCCCGCTGACTTCCAGAGGGCGCAGCCCCTGTCGAGCGGGAGGCCTGATACGGTTGTGAGGTTAAGCAGGCATGTGCAGGACGTGACGATTCCTTGGGTGAGCCCAGAACCAGAGCGCCATGTGCCGGCTCTGCATGCATGGAAGCCTCCTTGGATGGCGGGGAATGCCCATGATCTGCCCCTGCCTTCCCTTGAGGGCTAACTGTTCCACAGGGGGCTGCCCGAAAGGGGTACTCCGAGGGCAATACCTGCGGAGGAGACAAAGTGGACACCACACAAATCAGGCAACGTCTCGACCCACACAAAACAATAGCCACAGTCAACCTAGAAATAGGCCTGACGTCTTCCTTCGAAGTCGGAGTACAGCTGCCCATGAGGCAGGGAAATGAAAAACGGTTGTACACGCAAAAATCAGGTCCAGGTGAAAGCCAAAAGTCCAAGCGGACGATTAACCGGGACCTTCCACTGGAATTCACAGCCGGTGATCGATAAAGAAAAAAAAATCGAATCAAAAATTAATGATTTAAAAACAAAATGACTGTTAACAGAGAATGAAGAGAACAACTTTAGAAAATTCTGTCAAGATTTCATTATCTCATTATTGAAGCAATTGAAGCAGAGATTTCCTGAAAATCTAGATGTTTTGAAAAATATTTCACTTTTTTCTGTGAGCAACATACTTCAGCCAATAAAAGACATACCTAAATATTGTAAAGTTATGAAATTTTTAGGGGCTACTGATAATAGTGTCGCGGAAGCAGAATATCAGTTAACCAAAATAAAGTTAGCTGAATGGGCAAACAAAACAGAAACTAAAGCGTTTTGGAGTGAAGTGAGACAATTTAAAGATGCCTCATCAAACAGTCTATTCTGTAAGCTCTTTAAAGTGCCATGTCTGCCATGATACTACCCCACTCAAATGCTGACGTAGAAAGAGTTTTAAGTGCTAGGAATTATATCAAATCTAACCTAAAAAACAGGATGAAATTTGACCTCTTAAATGCTATTGTGCCATTAAATTTCGGCCTGATGAGACTAGAGAAATAAGTCTAATGTTCCACTTATAAAGAAATTTGAACAGCTAAAGCATACCAGAGTCATTTTGGATCTGAAGCTTCAACTTCATTTTCCAAGCTAAGTTTATCCTGTGGATCTTGTGAGGCAGACATCAGTGAAGGTGAGAACATGATTATGTAGGGTAAGTCATAACAAAAGCTATGTAATTTTGACTTTTTCAATTTGGATGTTTTTATAGATCTTTTCCACGCAGATTTAGATATTTGTAGATATTTTTTGACAACCGTTTTGGATATTTGTTGTCAAAGAAAAGTGGCAACACTGTGCATGACAGCAAACGCAAACAGACCAATATGGCCGCCGCATTGTCGTTTCGTTGGCTAGAGATTCTAGAGAAGGAGTTCGACAAGGCATTTGTAGATTTAGATATTTTGTTAGGAGAGATTGATCCTGATCAATGTGAACTTACATTCGAGGGGCGTCAGAAAATGACTGCCCTCAGTGCTGCTTTTGCACAGCTAACTCACAAGGCACAGACTGTTTTTCAGTGTAACGCGAAGCTAGAGGTACGTACCGTAGGTACTTTAGTCAAATTTTTAAAATGCCCTCAACACCAATAAAATTTTCCGAAACAAGTTTCAAACGGTTTCCATGGTAACGAAAATTGCCAAAAAGATCGAAAATTTCCGAAACTGTAGTCGCTATCTAGTATCTACACCAATAAAACCAGCACAGTTAGATAGCTGTAAACAATCTCTTTCCAACGGTACCTCATTTAGGCTTGTATGTCATTTCTGAGCTGAGATATGTAGGTTTTTGTGGAGATGAGATGTAAAAAACAGCTGCTAAAACTTGTGTCTGAGAAACGAGAAGTTTTCTCTGCGCAACCAAACTGCGCAACTTTCGTTTTGACTTTGTTTTTATTGGACAAGATGGCAGACAATTTTTCTCAGACACAGCCACATATTAGCGATTGCCTGAAAAATGTCACTGTAAATCTAAACAGCCACAGACAAGACAGAAATTGTATACACAAATGTAAAATTGGACGAAGAATTCAATTATAACTAGCATTACCATGTCTGGTTACATTTAAAGCCTAAAGCCAACTTTGAACACTTATCGCTATTTTCACTCAAACTGATGAAACAGAAAAACAGAGGACGTCCGGCTGTCGTAGACTAAGCTGTTAATCGGGTTCGTTCCCGCCGTTTTCAGCCATTTATAGCTGGTGAAAATCACACCAATCGCAAAATTTAATGAGAGATTAGGACCCATCCCGAAACCCCAGCCAACATTTCCCAAACAAGTTTCGAACGGTTTCCATGGTAACGGAAATTGCCAAAAAGACCTCAAATTGCCGAAACTGTAGTCGCTACGTACCGTACTACTACTACTACTACTACTACTCTGATGCGAATCTCTATCCAGCTTCAAACTGTTGTATACCTATGGAAATCGGCTCTCCTCCAAACTCAGTTCTATTAAAAATATGCCGGCTCCATATAACGAAACAAATGCTCTAACAGGGTCTCAGCGATATGTTACTTGCGGACCTGTTTCTGTGACTATCTGTATTGAATTTGTTGTTATCCATATAAAATTTGTTTTATTCACAATTAAAATCTTATATATATTAAAAAAAAATTTTTAATTCACGTTGATTTGGATGTCGTCCACAATGAACTTACTGTTACCCACATCAAACTTACTGTTACCGAAATCAAACTTACTGTTACCCACATCAAACTTACTGTTACCCACATCAAACTTACTTTTGTCCTCATCAAACTTAACTGTTACCCACATCAAACTTACTGTTGCTTTTATCAAACTTATCTGTTACCCACATCAAACTTATTGTTGTCCTCATCGAACTTTTCTGTTACCCACATCAAACTTATTGTTGCTTTCATCATACTTATCTGTTACCCACATCAAACTTACTGTTACCCACACCTAACTTACTGTTGTCCTCATTGAACTTATCTGTTACCCACATCAAACTTACTGTTGCTTTCATCAAACTTATCTGTTACTCACATCAAACTTACTGTTACCCACATCAAACTTACTGTTACCCACATCAAACTTACTGTTACCCACATCAAACTTACTGTTACCCACATCAAACTTACTGATGTCCTCATGGAACTTATCTATTACCCACATTTAACAACTGTTGAGGTGAATGCTGCACCATGTTGCAGGCCCAGTTGGTGGACATGAGGTCTGACATCATTGAGCTGCAAGCTGCCAAGGCTGTGGTTGAACAGGAGATGCACACACTGTTGCTGCAGTTACATTCTTCACAGTTGGAAGTGCAAGAGTCCCGGGGACTTGAAGTAGATTCTCAGGAGATTAAAAAGAAATTGGTAATGCATTTTTCTTTCATTGTTGTCAAGTTGGTTCAAGAAGGGATACAGTGGCATAGTCTTGTTCTTCTTTTTAGCATTCACCAGCTGTAAACTGAGGCATACATTTCTGTTTGCTCCTCCACTTCTGGTCTTTGGTATTGTTCCAGAACTTGAGTTTTGCATGCACAACCACTTTACATGTCTGGCTTTTTTTTGTATGCAAATTGTTGGTTCCTTGCCTTTCAGGCAGATGCTCCTGTGACTGAAGGAAACTCCCATAATTTTTCACCTCTTACGATATGCTTCTTCTTCTTCGCGTTCACTGGCTGTGAACTCCGGCGGAAAGTTCTGGTTGTTCCCCCACTTCTGGACTGCAGTCCTGTTCCAGAACCTGAGTGTTGCATGTGCATCCGTTTATCAGATCTGTATGCAGACTATTAGTTTCTTGCCTCTCAGGCAGATGCACTCCGACTTCGAAGGAAGCTCCCAATTAGTCGACTCTCAACACATGCTTTTGGGTAGGCAGTGGGTCTATTCTTGTTTTTCCCATAGTAGGGCCCCGGAACCCACTCAGGGGACGATATGCTTATTTCTGAGGCTGTCGAAAGGGCCGGTTATTCTGTTCTTCACCCCCCCCCCCTTCCAGATGGAACCCACAGAAGGAGTGGCATATGTTTTCCTGCAAGGCTGGTCTAGGTTCTTTTCCCAGCACATAGTGATGCTTGAAGACCAGGTCTCATACTGATCATGACACAATCCACACCTCTTCTAGGTCATCCTAGAAACTGGTTCCCTACAGTACAGTAGGGCCTCGTCAACGTCGATAGAATCTGTGTTATCTACAAAGTCTGAAATGGGTACCAGATAATGTCCTGGGAAGTAAATGTGGCCGGCTTGATGTGGACCATTTTACCTGTCGAGTCCCAGTTGGTCTGTTAAAATATAGCTCTAGCACTACATGCTTGTAGGGCCAAAGGCACAAAAAAGGTTCATCAAACAGTAGATGCAGTCTTTACAAACAGATATTCACACTAACTCTTTTCTATTTCTTTTGTGTTCACCAGCTTTGAACTCTGGCAGAAAGTCCTGAATGTCAGTCCATATCTGGACCTTGGTCTTTCTTTTTTTCTAGGATTGAGTTTTGCTTGCATGTGCATTTGACAGATCTAGCTTATTTGGTTTGTTTTGATCTTTCCCCATGTGGGTTCCGGGACCCTATTATAGGGAAAACAAGAATAGACCCACTGCCTACCCAAAAGCATGTCACAACAGTCGACTAATTGGGAGCTTCCTTTGAAGTCGGAGTGCATCTACCTGAGAGGCAAGGAACCAACAGTCTGCTCACAAATAAGTCAGATCTGTCAAATGTATGCACACGCAACACTCAGGTTCTGAAACAAGGACTCCTGTCCAGAAGTGGATGAACAACCAGAACTTTCCTCCGGAATTTACATCCGGTGAATACGAAGAAGAAGAAGTTTTTGTCTTGTTTTAGGACTTGAGTGTTTGCATGCCCATGCATTTTTACCAGATTACCAGATTTTCACCCCTTTTACGACATGCTTGTTATGTGGACAGTGGGTCTGTTCTTCCTCCTCCCTAAAGGAGCCCTGGAACCCACACAGGTTGAGATAAATTACCAATAAGTGACATTTGATCAGGATATAACTTGATGAAACAAACAATTTCAGGAAGCTGAGCTTGCCAGCAGGCAGCAGTCACAGCAGGTGGTGGCCAAGCTTGAGGCCGAGGCCAAGATGTTGCGGAGAGACAATCGTGATCTTAGACAGTACATACTGGCACTGCAGAGTGAAGTCTACGGGGCTAGACTGTCCGCAAAATACCTTGACAAGGAACTGGCGGGCAGGTATGCTGTATGTTATTGAGATTTTTGTGGGGGGACGAGGCTGGGGGGGGGGGGGGGGATTGTGTTTTGTTGTTGTCTGTTCTGCCTTTATTCTCTTAGCAATTGCCAAAACAATATTAGTCTTTACTAAACATAGAAAGTGTGACTGAGATCCAGAAAAATCTCATGTTAAACAAAATAAGGACTGCTTTGAGCACTAGCTATCAGTACTTTTGATATTCCCTTTGTGGGTCTAGGGCCCCAGTACGGGGGGAGTAGGAGTGGACCTGCTGCCTCCCTAACAAGTATATTGTAAAAGTCAACTTATTAGAGGATTCCTTCGAAGTGGAGTACATCAGCCCAAGAGGCAAGGGACTAACAGTCTGCATACAACTAAACCAGATCTGTAGACGGGATGTGCATGCAACAATGAAGTTCTAGAACAAGCACTTACATTTTGCATGCACATACATTTGACAGATCTGGCGTATGTGTTTGCAGACTGTTGGTTTCTTGTGCTCAGGCAGATGCAGTCTTCTGACTTAGTACTTATGCTTTTTATGATGTGCTTGCTAGGGGTGGCATAGTCTGTTTTTGTTTCCCCCCAAATGGGGGCCCGGGAACCCACACAGGGAGGTTACAAGCAACTTGTGATGTGTGGCTGGCTCTTTTATGTGATCCACAACAATCATTTCATATGTTTTTCTGCTTGTTACGTGTAGTTTAGGACACACTCAGGTGATATTGCTGTTTCAGAGGTCACTGTACATGTAACCACTTTGTAACGAATACACTTGTCTAATTCATCACTGTTGTGATTTCATTCCTTGGTATCTGCTACATACTCTTCATAATTGCTGTGTGCAAGATAATTGTTTGGAAAGGTCAATGTAAGACACAGGCCTGCATGCCAAATTTGTGATCTTGAAAATAAAGTTTGTTCATTCACTAATATTTATGACATTATTGCTGATGCCACAACCTCACCATCATCATCATGTGCAGTGCCATTATCAAAGGCTGTAATATGTAGCCACCTCACACGATTATCAGAATCACCAAGTCAATATTCTTGACTCATATGGTAAAAACCGTCCATATATTTCTCTCTCTTGCTCTCATTTCATCTATGGGAGTCATTGCCAAATTCTTAAATCTGCTCTGAAGATGTCCAAGTTGTGAAATTATGACTATTCTTGACATCTAGAAATAGGTAGTTCGCCATTGCCATCCTTCTTGGCAGTGACCATGCTGGTCAGGTGACTGTAACCATTGTTACAATAGTTTGATCCTCTGCCTACATTGCTGCCATCTGGCAACTTGAGACCATGACCAACAACTATGAACCAGCTGCTCTCAAGCTTCAGTCCACCACCAGCTCCCATGGTTTTACATTACACTAGTAAGGGGGCTACACAGGTAGTCTAGGTACTTCACCTTGCCAGAGGGTGTCCCATAGACAGGCAGAGGGAAAGTGTGGCACCTTACTTCTCTTTTCAGACAGGACACCTCTACCCAACTTCCTCTTCCTCATTGAGCATAGACCCTTAACTACCTCATGCCAATCCCTCCAATGCTTTGTCATCACTTATAATCTCTCCTATGTCTTTCTTATGGTTTTCTTCTGATTTATTACTTACACATTTGTAGAATACTAAATTTAATTGTCGGCTTCGCCTGCTATAGTGAAATAAAGTCTTATTCTCCCATCCTCTGCCTTATCTTTGTCTCCATCGCTGCCCTATATGTAGGCCTAGTGGAAACAGGGGTCTAATTAAAACCCTATATTTAATATCCTGTCTTTTACTTTATCATTGTCTCCACCTCTGCTGTTTCTTTAGTCATTGCCCCTAAGTGCACCTGAGGTAATACTAAAACCATCATTCAACAGTTTGGGAGACAGACAAATGTATTGTCTAAAATACACATAGATATGTGGTTTCGAGAAAGATAACAGTGAAATATAATTGTACAAAAAAATTTAAAGGAAGCAATAAAGAGAAAAATATTAATAGGGAAATAACTCCAGCAAAAGTTTAGTTTTACTGATTGTCACAATAAATAAAGAAATGCGTGCTAACCTAGGCCGACAGTGTGACTTAAATTAAATATTGTAGTCATAATGGCAAATGAAAATGTAACGAGTGTATCGGCCACAGTTTGGAAGGAGTTAAAACTTTATTTATAATAAACACATAAAGGGTTTGTGATTTATAATATAAATTTTCTGCACCGGAGAACTAATTATCCCTAAAAAAAAGTATTTTATATTTTGGTTCCAGGGTAGGACGCAATTGCTGTTGTTTTAAAGCCTCCCCGGCTATTGCTGGGGCCCCCAATAAAAACCACCCTATAGGTTGAACGAGGATTCTGGGACCTGTTCCCGGGTGGCCCTTTGTGTCACCGGGTGTTGATCACTCAATGTGTGATCCTGGTGGAGTTGCACATCATCATCACCGTCTCTAAGGATGAGCAATCCAGATGTTTTAGAAGATATGAGAACCCGAAGACAACTTGCACAAATATCCAGTTGGTTTTATTTCTGTTGACAGAATCCAACAGATTCAGTTGTTGGGGCGGGACATGCGAGGAGCTGAACACGACAAACTCTGGAACCAGCTTGAGGCAGAAATCCATCTCCACCGCCACAAGACTGTCATCCGAGCATGCAGAGGTCGTAATTTACACAAGAAGAAAGTCCTTTGTCCGCCTGGTCATGTGAGTATTTTACTGTCCAGTTCTCACCTGGTCATGTGGGTCTTAAAGTCCACTTCTCTCATGTGAGTCTTATAGTCCACTTCTCACCTAGTCATTTGAGTCTTATAGTCCACTTCTCACCTTGTCATGTGAGTCTTATATTGTCAGCCTCCAACCTGATCATGTGAGTCATTTAAAAATTACTTCACACAAGACTTTTAAAGTCCCTCACCTGGTAATGTCAGTCTTCAAAGTCTGTTATCTCTTGACACATGAGTCTTTTAAAGTTCACTACTTCTTGTCTGTCACATCAGTCTTGGTAAATTCCTAGTGTCAGGTCTTTGAGCTGTGGACAAATGTAAGTTCAACATCTTTTTATACCCTGTCAAACAAGACAGATAAGATAAAAAGATGCATTAAAAAATTTGATGTATCGAGCCGCATGCTGATGAAACAGTGCAGCCTGACACCCGCTTCATGTTGATGCTTTTTCTTCAGTATTTCAAGCTTTTGAGGCTCACTCCTGTGACCACATGCCTTAATTCATCTCTATGATTGGCCTTCTCTTTCCACTAGGTGATTCCAAGCATTTGTAGATCTGCCTGTGTATTATCTCTCCAAAATCTTTTTGGTCAGCCCTGTGGTCTACTCCCATTATCACTTTTGGGTACAGAGTTTTTGTGTCTCTTTTATCTGCCATTCTCTCGATCTGCCCCAACGATTGCAGTTTATTAGCCCTCATGATGCCAGTTTTTAGTGGTGATTTCAACAATTTTTGTCAATAATGGTTGATATATTATTATCAAGTTTGAAAAAAAAAAAAAATTGTTTAAAATTTCAGAATGTCCAAGATCTGAAGAAGAAGCACGGCCTGGGAGATGTCCGAACTGTTACAGTTCACAAAGAGCCTGATGAAGGTCTGGGCATGTCCATTACAGTGAGTCATTTGTACCTGGCCTGCCTCTGTTTGTTCTTCCTATGTTCTTTATTTGTACCTGGCCTACCTCTGTTTGTTCTTCTTATGTTCTTTATTTGCCCTCTCTCCCACCCTCCCCCCTTTGTTTTCTCTTTTCTTTTAGAGCATATATTCTTAACTAATAATGTTTTATTTATTGACACTGGTCTATTTCTGTGCAGAAGAATATTTGACTGATTGGTCTATTCCTGTGTGAATGTAATAATAACTAACGTGGTGTACTCCTCTGTCAATGTAATATTTACTGACAATGGTCTATTCATGTCTAAATGTAATATTTACTGACAATGGTCTATTCATGTCTAAATGTAATATTTACTGACAATGGTCTATTCATGTCTAAATATAATATTTACTGACAATGGTCTATTCATGTCTTAATGTAATATTTACTGACAATGGTCTATTCATGTCTTAATGTAATATTTACTGACAATGGTCTATTCATGTCTTAATGTAATATTTACTGACAATGGTCTATTCCTGACAAAAGGTAATATTTTCTTTACTGATAGTGGCCTACTCCTATGTAAATGTCATATTTTCTTTTATGATAGTGGTCTACTCCTGCGTAAATGTGTTATTTTTGTTACTAACAATGTTCTACTTCTCTTAAATCTGATGTGTTTATTGGCAGTTTTTACCCATGAAAAAAATCTGTGTGTTGATTGACAATATTTACTTCTGTATAAATCTAATAGGTAATTGTTGACTGTCGATATAATGCTAAGAGATGAGCAGGCAGGTTTTTGGTCAAACCAGATAGCCACATTACGTATTATAATAGAGCAAAGCATTGAACTGAACTCACCACTTTACATTGGATTTATAGACTATGAAAAAGCATTTGACAGCATTGATAGGAAATCTCTCTGGAAATTGATGAGGCATTATGGAATCCCACAAAAAATTATCAACTTAGTAAAGGCAACATATAAAGACATGAAATGTTGAGTTCTTCATGAGGAAAAGCTAACAGATGCATTTGAAATAAAAACAGGTGTGCAACAGGGATCTCTTTTGTCGCCTCTCTTATTTTTACTGGCTATAGACTGGACTATGAAAACAGTAACTGCTAACACCAAGAATGGAATTCAGTGGACCCCTACAAAACAGCTTGATGATCTGGACTTCGCTGATGATATTGCTCTTCTGTCCCATTCACGGAATCAGATGCAAGATAAATTAAATATACTTGATGCGAGATCACAGCAGCTTTTTCTGAAAATCCATAAAGGAAAGACAAAGATAAGGAGAATAAATCAGGCAAATAGTAATGTTGTTTCTCTTAATGGCATCCCACTCCAAGACGTGGAGTGGTACACCTATTTAGGCAGTAATGTAGATAAAGATGGAGGAACTGATAAAGATATTAAAATAAGAATACAAAAGGCAAGAGGGGCTTTCATAGCACTAGGGAATTTGTGGAGGTCAAAAGAAATGAAAACAAATACTAAACTAAACATTTTTAATTCTAATGTCAAATCAGTACTATTGTATGGGGCGGAAACAGGGAGAACAACTAAGGCAATTACTAATAAATTACAGACATTCATTAACTGGTGCTTGCGCAGAATAGAGGGAATTAAATGATATGATAAAATAACAAATGTAGAACTTAGTGAGAGAACTAAACAGGCTCCAAGAGTGGACCAAGAGGTGAGGAAAAGACGCTGGCGTTGGATAGGACACTCACTGAGAAAACAGGAGAACAGCATAACTAGAATGTCTTTGCATTGGAACCCATGGGGGCATAGGAATAAAGGAAGGCCAAAAAACACATGGAGAAGAGAGCTGGAGAATGAAGTTAGAAAGATGGGGAGAGCTCCATGCAATGGCGAAGGATAGAACGACTTGGTGTGAGTTGGTTGAGGGCCTATGCTCAATTGGGGGATAGAAAGACAGAAGAAGAAGAAGAATAAATCTAATAATTAATTGATGACTGTCTTTACCCCTATAATAATCTAATGTGTAGATTGACAGTCTTTACCCCTGTTTTAATCTAATGTGTAGACTGTCTTTACCCCTGTATTAATCTAATGTGTAGACAGTCTTTACCCCTGTATTAATCTAATGTGTAGACTGTCTTTACCCCTGTATTAATCTAATGTGTAGATTGACAATCTTTACCCTTGTATTAATCTAATGTGTAGGTTGACAATCTTTACCCTTGTATTAATCTAATGTGTAGGTTGACATTCTTTACCCCTATAATAATCTAATGTGTAGATTGACAGTCTTTACCCTTGTATTAATCTAATGTGTAGGTTGACAATCTTTACCCCTATAATAATCTTATGTGTAAGTTGACATTCTTTACCCCTATAATAATTTAATGTGTAGACTGTCTTTACCCCTTGTATTAACCCTACCAGACCTGAGGCCCTGAACCTAACTGTCCCTATAACCTGAGCTCCTGGGCACTAACACGAAAAAAAAACATGATGTACAAAAAATTAGTTACATGCAAACAAGTGGTTAGAATAAGATAAAACTTGGAGACATTGTAGAAAATAGGTTCACCTTTCATCTAGCGCCAATCTTCCACCTTTGTGTGCCAATCCACCTAGTAGGATCAGTCTTGTTTCACAAAGTAAGCACCAGATGTTGCTGTTTGAGGGACACGTCCCCTTCTCTTACTATCGATCTAGTTTTAAATCTATAATTTTCATAATTCTCCTCCTCACTCTAGCTCTCACTGACTATGCCACTTCAACTGGGAACGTATTCTTCATGAACGTATTCACAGTCTGAATTAACCAAAGTATCGATCACCTGTTGGACTGTGAAAAGCCTAGACCTACATCAATTTCTTGTTGAAGCCGCTCGTTTCATTGCAAATTTTCCGAATTTTTTTCACATCAAACCACACAACGAAATCTCAACACACTTGGGAAGTCATTCGCAGTAACTAACAACAAAGTCTGATGGCGATTGCCTGGTTATTTTTAGTCTGTGACGCATATTTTTCCATGTACTGCGTAAATTCCCGGAAAATGGGGCCAGTGGTATAGCGGCTGGTTAGGAAATTCCCGCAAAATCGGGCCAGCGGTCTGGAAGGGTTAATCTGATGTGTAGGTTGACAGTCTTTACCCCTGTAATAATCTAAAGTGTAGGTTGACAGTCTTTACCCCTGTAATAATCTAAAGTGTAGGTTGACAGTCTTTACCCCTGTAATAATCTAAAGTGTAGGTTGACAGTCTTTACCCCTGTAATAATCTAAAGTGTAGGTTGACAGTCTTTACCCCTGTAATAATCTAATGTGTAGGTTGACAGTCTTTACCCCTGTAATAATCTGATGTGTAGGTTGACAATCTTTACCCCTGTAATAATCTAATGTGTAGGTTGACAGTCTTTACCCCTGTAATAATCTAATGTGTAGGTTGACAGTCTTTACCCCTGTAATAATCTAAAGTGTAGGTTGACAGTCTTTACCCCTGTAATAATCTAAAGTGTAGGTTGACAGTCTTTACCCCTGTAATAATCTAAAGTGTAGGTTGACAGTCTTTACCCCTGTAATAATCTAAAGTGTAGGTTGACAGTCTTTACCCCTGTAATAATCTAAAGTGTAGGTTGACAGTCTTTACCCCTGTAATAATCTAATGTGTAGGTTGACAGTCTTTACCCCTGTAATAATCTAATGTGTAGGTTGACAGTCTTTACCCCTGTAATAATCTAATGTGTAGGTTGACAGTCTTTACCCTTGTATTAATCTAATGTGTATATTGTCAGTCTTTATGCTTTTACCAGTCTAATATTTATTGGTTGACGATCTTTATGCTTTTATCAGTCCAATATTTATTGATTGGCAATTCTTAACTGTCTTATACAAGGGAGGGAAGGAACATGGAGTCCCCATCCTGATCTCAGAAGTCCATGACGGACAGCCGGCTGACAGATGCGGGGAGCTCTACGTTGGGGACGCCATTCTTTCAGTCAATGACATAGACTTACGGGATGTGAAGCATGCGGAGGCCGTCAGAGTACTCTCCCAGCAGGTGAGCCACCATTAGTGTGTCATTTCCTATGCCGGTTCTGTCTGGGGTCTCAGTTTTACTAGCAAGAAAATTGTAGAGCCACTTCTTCTTTTTCCTACTGCTTATGCCATAAATTGTCGCAGAGAGGAGTGAAATGTAGTTGCTTGTCTTTTACTAGTTGCATAGCTTGTGTTCATGTCATATTGAGTTTCTGTAGACCAACTGTCCTTCTAACAAACTCAATAATACATTAACATGCCCTGGTTACGTCTGTATGCCCTAGGTATATTAATGTGTCTCTTAGACATACTTGGTAAATAGTGTTATTTCTTTGTGTGGGCTCCATGGCCCTATTTTGTAGGGGTGAAATAGGTACCATGGGAAGTCCCAGGAAATAAATGTTAGCTACATAAAACATTTATTGCCGATTGGTCTATAAAATTATAGCATCATATGCTCGATGTGCCACTGGCATACAAGGGTAATATCATCCAACTTTAATTAAGGTTGTTGTGATGTGTACAAGGAGATACTTTGTACCTCACCATGGCCCCAGCAGGCTCTGTGCTAGTTTTTACAGATCCTCTAACAAGACTCTTGCCACACGTCCTTGTCGTGCACTAACAGATGATGACCTATATGGGCCTGAACCGAGGGGGCAGGGGATCTCAGAGTTGGTTGCCCCCAGAGAGGCACTGTCCAGAAATCCTCTGGCACTTGTCAGCCCACCCCTTGTGCATGGGTAATAGTAAAAAACTCATTTGGAAGATGAGTTAAGGCCGCAGGCCGAGTACCCTACTGACAGACCAGTTTCAAATGTCTGTAGTAAACAGGACAAACTAGGGGATAGCTAGAACTGGGAAAAGTATGGTGTGGCCTTGTACCACATCATGAAGGTCATCCTGGGACATTCCAACATGTCTTGGTCAGTGGGGCTCAGGTGAAGTTGTAACAGGCTTAGCAAGTCAGCACTGCATTTATTATCGCTACAGAGAATACAATGAAATATAAATGGATATCGAACAAATGATGCTAATATATATCCAAATGGCAGTTGGCAGAACCAATGTTTGCCACCATTTTTATAGATTAGGTCACTCTGTGAGGTAGCGCTGCAGCTCCTTCGAAAAGATAGCAAAACTCCCCCTTCCATTGGCCCATGATGTTAACCTGAGCATCAAAATCAACACATTAAAGCTGATCTTACTTTTGATCCTCAGCAAGGAGACATCAAACTCTCAGTGATGTTTGTTGCCCCAGATGAGGATAGTGATGACGAGAACAATGAGTACGAGGATGAGTATGGTTTCAGGTAAGTCTTGGTGGGAGGCAGGTGTTGACATTTGATTGCCTGTAGTAGTTGCATTGACAGTGAATAGAAGGATGAATATGGTTTCAGGTAAGCCCAGGTGGGAGGCAGGTGTTGACATCTGATTGTCTGTAGTAGTGCATTGACAGTGAATAGAAGGATGAATATGGTTTCAGGTAAGTCTTGGTGGGAGGCAGGTGTTGACATTTGATTGTCTGTAGTAGTGCATTGACAGTGAATAGAAGGATGAATATGGTTTCAGGTAAGCCCAGGTGGGAGGCAGGTGTTGACATCTGATTGTCTGTAGTAGTGCATTGACAGTGAATAGAAGGATGAATATGGTTTCAGGTAAGCCCAGGTGGGAGGCAGGTGTTGACATCTGATTGTCTGTAGTAGTGCATTGACAGTGAATAGAAGGATGAATATGGTTTCAGGTAAGCCCAGGTGGGAGGCAGGTGTTGACATCTGATTGTCTGTAGTAGTGCATTGACAGTGAATAGAAGGATGAATATGGTTTCAGGTAAGTCTTGGTGGGAGGCAGGTGTTGACATTTGATTGCCTGTAGTAGTTGCATTGACAATAAATACGAGGATGAATATGGTTTCAGGTAAGCCCAGGTGGGAGGCAGGTGTTGACATCTAATTACTTGTAGCTGTTGCATTGTCTTCTTTTTCTTCTGCATTCACTCTCAAGACAAGTGTTACAGTTTTGAGCAGAATACACAAAATCAATTATTTGAAGTGTTGTCTTTTTTCTCTCTTTCTCTGTCGGATTGTATATCTATATCCCTGCCTGTCGTTGTGAGTCTCCCATTACCCTACATATACGGCCCTAATACGATGACAGCGAGAAACAGCGTAGCAGGGGATCTGGTCAGCAGTGGGGACAGACTACATATATATACAATCAGACTACTACTGTAGAAATTATAATTCTGCACTGGCTGCTCAAAGTGGGGATAGGGCGCTTATGGGAATGTCCCGAGAGCTGTGATGTTGACCCAACATGTCTAAATAGGTGTTTGATTGAACTACCCTGATATAAATATAATTAGATTTGCTTTTAACATGTGCAGGTCTAGGATATTTTTGTTATTTTCCTATCCAGATATAGGATATTTGACGAGGACGTTATGGGAGCTGAGGTTAGCACTAATGAATCGTCTCCGTACCATAATGGACCAACCTCTCCTGCAGCCAGTGGAGGCAGCAGACGTTTTCACCCTGGGGATGTTCCCGAAAGGTTTGTCATGTTTTTTACTCTGTTTATTCATTAGTCACTATGCTATCAGTGCCAGACGTTGACACTTACATCCACCAAGACGAATCAGACGAATGCTAGGAATAAAGCCATCTTACAAGTCATCAAAGAACAACAAATGAAGTGGTTTGGACACCTAACATGAATGCCCTGGTACTATTTGATACAACGAACCACAATAAAACGTTACAACGGGTATAGAGCGAGTGGAAGACCTCCGAAAAGAGACAATAGAAGTGCCTGGGGGCTTTTAGCAAAAGCTAATGGTCGACATTTGGTACAGGAGAGCCTAGCATGTGATACCACAACATCCAGCTTAAGAGTGGAGGTGGTCGCTTTAGCTTTCCACTGGCTAAAGAACATGATACACACTCACATCATGATTGTAACTGACTCAGAAAGCATGTTGAGCAAGGTGAGGACAGGCATGCTTCGCTTCAAAAGTCGGTGGTATGGAGCATTGTCTGGATCTTTTCTCCAGGTATGCTGGTGTAGTAATAAACAAACAGGTGGTCAGATTGGTTGGCTCTGCACAACTTGGCAGTGAACTGATGCATGATAAGGCAGACGTGTCTAGGCCCTGTGGGAGCATGTGTAAAATTTGGAGTAGCACAAATGGATCATCAGTCTGGCGAGAATGATGAAGTGGAGAGTGACGACGGGATCTGGCCGATACTTGGTGCTCAGAAGAAAGGTAAGACAGGCATATAATCAGACTGCTACTGGTACCACTGGTATTGGAACTCTGCACTGGCTGCTGAAGATGGGGACGGAGTGCTTTGGTGTTGGTTCTTGACACAACTCAACTCTTGTTAGTCATGTCTGTTCCTGTGTTTATTCCTATTCCTGTGTTACTTCCTCTTTTTATTCTTTAGTTGTGTGTATTCTTCTGTTTATCTGATAGTTGTGTTTCTGGGGACTGCAGTAATTTAGTGGCTAGCAAACGTGCAAGCAGGCTAAATGGTTCAGTGCTGGAATCCCCATAACACATTTACCTAGCCCTAAATGAATCATGGGAAATGTTCTGAGAATAACAGCACCCTCAAGTGTTAACATCTGTTGCTGCAGACTGTTTTGGTTTTATCACCTTTTTAGGGCAGTGTAGATGGGGGGCGGTTTGAGGATTTTGGGTCGCATGGCTAGTGCTTGTCGCCATTGGTTGTGCAGGTTAGGATGTTTCATTTTGCCCTGAACAGAAAAACTCCTTCACCTTACCGAGGGTCGAACCCAGGACCAAATGCCTTATACACCATTAGTATTGAAATGGTCCTTTCCCATCTGGGAGGGGAGGGAGGGACATAGACCCTCTGTTTTCCTAAAAATTATAATGGATAAGGCGACCAGAAAGAGGTTTGCTGAAATAGGATGCTTGTGCTGAAAGGCACAGATATTGCAGCCTGGTTGTAAACCGCACCACAATGTGCATTCTGTATTTGAGGGGTGAACTCTGGAGCAAACAAATGAACAGATAAACTCAAACTTTTTTTTGGTCATGCAAACCCATCTAAAATTCTGCCCTTCTAATCTCCCTGCTTTCATACATCATGTCTTTATTTTTAATTTTTTTTTAATCGATCACCGGCTGTGAATTCCAGCGGAAGGTCCCGGTTAATCGCCCGCTTGGACTTTTGGCTTTCACCTGGACCTGAGTTTTGCGTGTACAACCGTTTTTCTGTTTCCTGCCTCATGGGCAGCTGTACTCCGACTTTGAAGGAATCATGTCTTTCATACATGATTTCTTTCATACATCAGTTAACAAATAGTAATAGTATATGTTAGCAGCAGCAGCCAAACATTAAATACAAGCAATGAAATGTGCTGGAATGACACCTGCATATTTAACCACAAAAACCATAGTAATTGTAATAAATCTTGAGGAAATATGTGCCATTTCTAAAACACTTTTATATTTTTATGAGGCATGTAATCGGTGCTCAGATAACATTGGAACAGTTTCTAGGTGCATGTATAGAGGCTAATTTTTTTAAAAATAAAAAATCTTTTTTAACTAAATCAACGTTAAGTGATAGCAAGGGCCAGTGTTAGAGGAACTTGCTCTCTGGCTTAGTTCTGAGGTTCCATTTTGGGAGGGAAACATGGAATCAGCCTGCGCAGCCCACCCCCCTTCAACAAGCATGTCATAAAAGGCGACTAAATGGTTTACTGAAACTGGATGTGTTGAGCTGAAAGATGCAGATGTCACAGCCTAGCTGTAAACTCACCAGCGCTGAAGGTTTTAAAAAAAAAGAAGACGAAATGCGTTCCCAATTTGTGACCCTTTGAAACTAAAGTTTGAATGTTCATTCATACCTTTCAAGTTTTACTCGTTTCCATATTAATGTATATTCTGAAATAACAAGCACGCTAGAGCTGGTTTCCCAACTGTGTTTTTCATTGCAGCGGTCAGCACCACAACGTTTTCTCTGTAAGCCCAGCATCATCTTCAGGAGCTTCTGCCCAACAGCGTCCAGCTGACACACCCAGATCCACTGGCAAGCATGTCCTCCAGGCAAACGGATTATCCGAAGCCAAGCCACCTGTGGACCATACAAAGTCTCAATCCGCGAAGTCGCAGTCTGCCAGTGGGGTCAGCCCAGGGAAAGCAAATGATGCGACAAGGAGTAGCAAGAAGTAGTGATGTTTTATCCTGAATATCTGTGATATATCTAACATCTGGAGGCCATAATTCTGGGGTAGAATATCTGTGATACATCTCACATCTGGAGGCCATAATTCTGGGGTAGGGGTGATGCATAATGATGCTCTGTCACATATATTTAGAGCAGAGCTTTCCAAACTTCATGTTAGTGACACATAATTCAGACTACTAGCAAACCAGAGGTTAAACTAATCCTTATAAGAGATACAGGTTTGTACAAAAAAAAAGAAGACCTTTGAGATATTATTTAACAGTTAAAGCCAATAGCTGATATGAAAACAAAGTTGAAAGTTTTTAATATGCCATGCGGTTTCTATAAAATGCCATAGTCTGCATTGTGTGATGATTACTCTGTTGAACTCTTATGTCCCAAGAAGCCACAGTACTGACACTTCAGGTTAGTACCATTTCCCTGCAAGAGCCGCTGTCCCGACTCGCTATAGACACGTTTGCAAGATGTCAAACTAACAGATTGTGTCTGCGCAGACATTTAGTGTGTCAGGGGATGACTAAATATAGCATTTAGAGGTGTCTTTTGTTTTTAAAAGCTCTATTTCTAAAAACAAAAAAAATATTTTTTTAGATAGAAATTCTTACATCATAGTTTTTCCATTGGCTACCAGGGTAGGTAAGTGTCATGCTATCAGTAGTTCATAGGCCCCAAGAAATATAAGCCAGCTGATTCTATGCTGTATTCATTTTTATGTACTCCCTTTCCTCTGTATAGTATTCATTTATGTTTTGTATGCAAAATTGTATTTCTGTGATATATTTTTTTTCCTAAGCATTTTTTTAAAGCCCCCCCCCCCCCCCCCCCCCCCCCCCCGAAAACAGCTGAGCTTGGCTGTGTTTTTTTGCTCACTTAGGTGAAGGAGTTGCTTAATGTTCGCACGAGATACACCTTGACACTGCAGCAGACACACTAATGTTTCAGGACATGCAGTTTGGAAAGCTCTGATTAAAAAAGTTGTTCAAATACCAATCATAACTGGTGTGCAGTCTGGGACATACCATATTTTACAGACTATCAGATGCACTTTTTACATTTAGCAATAACCTACAAAATTCAAGAGTGCCTTCTTCTTTAACTTAAAATCCTAATTCTTCTTTACTCTGAAAATGGAGTTTGGCACATTGTGTTATGGTTTACAGCCAGACTGCGGTATCTGCCCCTCTTTTGGTTCAACCATCCCATAGTCTGTAAAATGTGTTATTTCCATTGCATTTCTTGATCAAGGATCTCATAAGACTAGGGTTTTGTGATCTTTTGTTTTGTTGTTTTAAGACTTTTGCTAATGTTGTTAACCAGGGAGTTTGACTTTTGTGGGATTCTGATGATGACTGCTGTATCCTGTTAATGTGTTTATTTATTCAGCTGCTCCACTTTGATGCTAGGGTACAGAACAATGAGTGGCCCTGCACATATTTCTGTGCTGATAGATTTCTACGCTGGGGCTCAAGCCTTTGGCCTGTGATGGTGACCACTTTCAATTTATGCCAGAGTAAATGTAGTCGAACAGCCCTGGCATAGAATATACGCTGTAGTGTATACGAAAGTGACCCTAGCAGCTAGGTTTCTCAACAGTTTAAAAGCCTATGTATAAAAGGGTTTTGGTGAGAAAAGAGAATGAATAGCCGGAGAATGAATTGTATGGAGAGAGAGGACGGAAGAGAGTAATTAAGAAAAGAAATGTATTGACTTTTTACCTGATATACCTTCACTTGTGACTTTTGTTTTGTTTAATAAGGTCACGTTTCATTGGACAAGTAAACTAGTTAGAGAAATTCAAAATTGACAGTCAATATTTTAAGGTACCGACTCAAGAACTTGGTGACAGCTGCAAGTTTGTCATGATCCGTGATCATTTCGGATGGTGAATCATGACTCTCTATGCTTACTGACATGGCACATGATGATGATGATTCATTTGTGGAAATTCTCAGTATCTGATAAGAAATATAATACATAACACACGAGAGTTCATTTTTTGTTGTTGCTGACTATGTTGTGGTGTTACCATCAATATTATTATTTCACAATACTTATAACACACCTTTTATTGAACTTTGTAAAGTTAAAAATAACAGACCCTTCCCATGCTGTTTCTACACCAGACATTTTGTGTCAGGCCAATTTTTGTTTATAAACCCAGTAGGCCCTTAATGGGTGATGGGGTCAGCATCTTGTGATTTTTTTTAATGTGCCATGCCCCACCTAAGCCTTTCCAAAATTCTTATGCCCTCTGTGTAACCTAGACATAATTTTTGATATTTCAAAATTGAATGGCTCACTGAAGAAAGGTTGGATTTACATTTTGTTGGAGCCCTCTCCTCTCCTCTTTTGGAAAAAGGGAATCTAATACACCAGGGCCAGTTTGGCTCTAGCACCGATCAAACACGACGGAATTTATTTGACATTTCGCAGTGTGCGCTGGTGGCCCCACTTTAGGAAAACACTGTTCTAGGCAGACTGGCTACAGTGGTTAACACAAAGTTCAGACTAGGTAAAATATATGACTTCTATTCCATTCCAGTATATCTGGTCACATCTGATCATCTGTGTGCTAATATATGGTGGTAGTTATGTTTTATGGTGAGAGAGAGAGTCACCTCACCTCTTTGAGGGTGTATTTGATTATTGCAGGTTATATATTATTTATACATTTTTTTTTGGGCCACTAGGGGACCATGATAACACAAGAGCTAGCAGGCTTGTATGTCTGCTCTGTAGTCATGGGTGTCAATCTCCTGGATTGGTTTTTGTTTAAACTGACCAAAACTCAAATTTCCTTTTGCCACGTCTCTTCCACAATTAAAAAAAAAAAAAAAAAAAAAAAGATGTTATTTCAGAGAAATATGAAGATGCATATTTAAAAAAAAAAAATGAAAAAGGCCCATTTTATTCAGATTTTTGTGGGTTGAAAGAGTTAACACACTTCTTTACTGTTCATCTGTGAACAATATTTGGTCTTATGAGTCCATGGGAATTGCTGTTATGTAGTGGCTAGACTATCGCAGGCAAATCGGAGAGTCGTGGGTTCGAGTCCTAACGCAGCTGGACTTTTCCCCAGAATAACTTTGGCTCCCAACTTTGAGTGGTTACCAGGTAGTCCTGGAAAGTAAAGGTGGCCGGCATGATGCTGACCACATTTCCCACCAAGTGCCAGCTAGTCTATACAATATAGATCCAGCCCTATATACCCAATACTGAAGGCATGTAAAAGGGCCCTTTTTTTTTTTACTTACTTACAATTACGTTCTTCCTGCTCAGCTGTGTATATGTTTTGCCTCATATCACCCAACCTTATTGTTTATCCGTGTGTGAAACATTTCGTCTGCAGCTCATCTTGGTATCATATGTTTGGTCTGTGGCTCAAACTGACTGCTTATCTGTGTATCATGCGTTTGGTCTATGGCTCACATTATTGCTTATCTGCACGACTTGTAATAGATTTGGTCTCTCTCTTTTAGACTATTCCTCACTGTATATCTATGTATCTTATAACATGTATAGTCTTTTATCCTAATTATCGGTGTATCATATATTTGGTAACTTAATTTGTAACATTTGAACACGTTACTGGTTTCTAGCATTATCTAGTCATGGAACCAAGTGCCTTTGGTTTTCTTCCTCAGTATTTTGCCTTTTTCCTGAATGTTGTAATTTATTTGCAAACAGTTGTTATTGAGAGGGATATTTACTGTCTGTTTTGGTCGGTCACGGAGGTTGTCCGTGTCAGTCATGAATAAATTGGAGACTGAGTATGACATTTGTGTGCTGAAGTTTTCATTTAGTACTGTCTGTTCTTGCTGTGTGCAGTCATTTGAGAAGCGTGATCTGCTGTTTTTGTGACATCTGAAGGTTATTCTTGTGGCTTACAGATATTGGTATGAGATTCACACTGTGGAAGAGATTAGGGAATCACCACATAATACTCCTAAAGTCAGTTATTGCAGCCAGCTTGCTTCCATTGTGAAAAAAGCACGTTAAACTAAAAATTGTTTAAAAAAAATGTCTTTTTAAAATGCACTTTTTGGTGGTTGGCATATTTTGTGGTTTACATCTAGGCTGTAATATCTGCGCTTTTCAGATCAATATACACTAAAACACCCGATTTCGGTCACGTAGTAATTGGTCACCTCTTATGACAGGCTTGTTAAGAGGCAACAAGTCTGATCCCCCCTTTTCCAAGGCAAAATAGGGTCCGGCTCAAATCAGAAGTGTTCAACTGAAAGGCACAGATATCACACACTAGCTGTAAACTACAACACAGCAGAAGTCATTTACTTCTGCTTCCATACTGTCTCTTCACCTTTCAAAATTGTCCTCACTGTTCCTCCACATTCTTCATGAACACCTTGTTTTATATTTCACAATCAGCTCAGTGTTTGGTTTCTGTGGCAGATGGCTTTTTAAACACAATTTTCCTGGTCTATAACAAATATCAGCCTCATGGTGTGTGCCTGGTGTGCCACTGGTATGAGAAAGATCTTTGACTTTTACTTGACGGAAAAAAAAAACTAGCAGGAGCCCAAGAAATAGTTATCAAAAATTACTTTTATCCAGATAAGAGATGAAACATATGGTAATGCATATAAACCCTACTTCTATGCCTTCTGTCTACATTTCATCGTCTTCTCCTCTTCCCACTCTTTCCATTGCCAGCTGAAGATGGTGTCAAGCACAGAGCTTGCACTTCAGCGATGATTCTTTTTTCATTATTTTTAAGCACAAAAAGGCATAGAAAACTGTCAATACAGGAGGTAAGCGGTCACCCCAGTATTGCCTGATTGCAAAGGAAGAGACGGAGGATGTTTTGAAGGAGTCCATGATCCTGCTGTAAAAATTTCTAGTATTTAAAAACATTTTGCCTGAAGCAGGTTAAATTATAGTCAAGACACGTTTTATTGTTTGGCATATCAGAAAATTTGTGACAACATATTTGGCCCAACCAAACATTTTGTACAAAGACACC